CATACGTGTACAAACGTATATATACATACACATACGTGTACAAACGTATATATACATACACATACGTGTACAAACGTATATATACATACACATACATACGTATACATACATATACGTGTACACACGTATATATACATTCACACGTATACATACATTCACACGTATACATACATTCACACGTATACATATATACACACATATTCAAATGTGATTTACTGAAAACTGGAATAAAAAAAGACCAAAAAAATCCACATTTTCACTGCATTTAAATTTGAATATTTAAAACTCGTCATCTGGGGACTGATCTGCTTCCATAAAGGCAGGACGGCGGATTTGAACCCTCACACAGCAGAACTGAGTAACAGTGGAAGAAGTGCCTGGCATTCCCTTTCAGTGTAGAAAAATATGCTTGAAAATATTCTGGATTTTGTTAAAAATTTGAGGTATGTTTGTTTGTTTTATGTAAATATCAAAAGTTTTCCTGCCCTGGGTTCAGTTTGGAGAGTTTTTCTAGATAAAAAGGAGCTGAAAATCCTCTAAAATGTGACATTTTTAAATAAAATAAAAAACATTAGAACCTGCAGCAGAAAGGATCACAGTTTGGTCTGAGAGGGAATGCATAGTCCGGGTTCTGGTCCAGACCCGAGAGACTGAAAAGAAAACCCATAAAAACCCTGTTTGTGTCATTTTTAGTTCCTCCGTCAGGAGGACCGAGTCCAGGCCAGCAGCCGATCCGCCGCACGGCGCGCTGAGCCCGGGCAGCAGCAGCAGCGTCGCCCCGGTCCATGGATCTCCTCCAGACCCGGGACCAACTGAGGAGAACCGCAGCCTTCAGTAGGTGAAGACCAGGTCTGAGAAGTTGGCCTCCAGCCAGTCCCCGGCGATCATCTCGCTGAGCTCCGGGGTGCAGTAGTCCGGGAAGTCGAAGTGGGACCCGAGGCTGCCCTCGCTGCCGCACGAGTCCAGGTCCTTGTCCACCAGGGACAGGCTCAGGTTCCCCGCCGCGGTGCTGGATGAGGAGGAGGTCCACGGGTCGGACAGGAAGCTGAGGGCCAGGTCGGCTCCATCGTCCAGGTCCGAGGTGGAGCCGGAGCGGGAGGAGGACGCCGGGGACCGGGGGGAGGCGCTGGTCCCCTGCCGGGTGATGTTCTTGAAGCTGTAGAAGAGCCGGCCGGAGGGCTCCAGGTCCGGCTCAGTGGAGCTGGTCCGGCAGTACCGGGACGGTTCTTCCACATGGTCCAGTTTGAAATCATCTTCCTCCTCCTCTTCCTCAGAGTCGTCTTCATCATCTTCATCCTCCTCCTCCTCCTCATCGTCAGTAAAGTCCCGTCTTTTAAAGCTGCTGGTCAACACGAACCGGTACCGGGGGTCGCGGTGCTGCGGGGGGTGGCCGCCGGCCCTTCCGGTCCCGGACACCGGCTTGCTGGGCTTCATCTTCCTGGCGGAACCGGAGTTCTTAGCCGGCCTGGCCTTCTCCGGGGACTGAGCGGAGGACTTGCCCGCGGGAGGAAACGCGCACCCTTCCGCCGTCTTGGGCTTCTTCTTGGGCCGGTACTTGTAGTCCGGATAGTCGGCCATGTGCTTGAGCCGGAGCCGCTCCGCCTCCCGGATGAACGGGATCTTCTCGGAGTCGTTCAGCATCTTCCAGCGCTTCCCGAGCCGCTTGGAGATCTCCGCGTTGTGCATGTCCGGGCTCTGCTCCATGATCTTCCGCCTCTCGATCTTGGACCACACCATGAACGCGTTCATGGGCCGCTTGATGTGACCCGAGGCCGTTTTACACCAGTCCGGCTTCAGCGGCACCGGGCTGCAGGCCGAGGCCGCCAGCAGCTCGCTCTCCTCGGGGTCCGTCGCCTCGCGGGAGTCGGTGTTGATCTCCGCCCCGGCACGTTCCGTGTGCTGGACCATGGTCCGGAAACTGGACTCAAACTTATCACAGGACACTTCCGACCCACTCTGACCCTGTTTTACTTTGATTTTCTTTCGTTTTTAAACTTACTTTCAGCCGTAAAGCTCCGCAGACACCAGCACTGTCCCTCGGTCTGTTTGAACCTTCAAACCGGCGTCTTATTAACAGGCTGATCATGCACGCGACCCTTTCCCTGCCAACCAATCAACGCTCTCTCTTCCTCATAAAGGTCCCGCCCAAAGATTTACTATCATCCAATCAGTGCTCAGCTTCGGGCCAACGTGCCCGCCCACCAGCGTCTGTCCTTCAATTCAATTTCAATTGGAAAAGAATTACAGGCTTCAAGTCGAATTTAAAGAGATTTTATTGGTGTTTAGTGGCACAAAATCACATAATCAATATTTTTTATTGTCTTTAACTATATATATATATATATAT